ATATATATGTGTGTACTGAAAATTACACTGTATAAATACATAAATTTATTTGCCTTTTGCAGAGAGAAATAAGCATTTGATGACTGGTAAAACCTGTGTTGTCTAGCACAGCAGTGAGACTACTTTTGTAGTTGATGAGATTTGCAGTAGTGGACTCTAGAAGTAAACAAAATATATTTTGGGGTAGATTTATCGCAGATCATGGTTTCAACAGAACGCCTGCAGAAGTTGTGGCAAAGAACCAACACAAAGCCTTGAGTAGATATTTGTTTCTATGATTCGACACCAGAATGAGCTCAATAAAGTGAGCTTCTGTTACAATAAACAAACTAGAACATTCTTCTCTGTCAGTAAACACTTAGATCCACAAACCGCAGCCATGAAATATTATTTGGAAATGGTAATCTAATTTAAAAAAATGTTCATCTACACAAAGAATAAAATATTATTCCTCCAGATAAGCCTTTTAAAAAAGATTTTATAAAACATTCTATAGAATTAAATGTATTTCACTTTATCTTCAAGTTGCATTTTAGAACTCTGCAACCAGGAGATGGTGCTGTGGCCTATTTTCAACCATGTCAGATGAAATTACCTTTGCAATTAATTATGTAATGAATTATTAGTAGCACAAAGAGAGGATGACCTTAATTATTTATGCCGCTAAAGTGTGATGCTGCAGACACTTGCAGGCTTTTAAAGCTTCGAACACATGACAGAGTTGGTTCCAGCCGCTGCAGGTTGATGAAAGCTGAGCGTTACAAGAGTCAACTCTCCATCACCTCCACCTGTAAACAGACTAGTATCTGAAATGAGATGCCATTAAAACACTTTGTCACTCTGAACTGTTTTTTTTTAATCATACTAACAGACTCGTTAGCTCTTGTGGGAAAACCCCTAATGATGATGATGATGTAAGCCTTCCTTTGAGGTTTGAGTGAGAATCTGTGCTGCTTGATCAGAAGCAGGCCCCAGGCTGCAGCCCTATAGCAGAACGAGTCAAAAAGATATAATGAAGCAAAGATAAAATAAAAAATATATATATTATTTTACTTTGCGACAAGTTTTGGGCCTCATGGGAGTTCAGATAAAAGATGAAAAGGTGCAAAATTATCTAGATAAAAGCTACAAAGTCCAGAAACTGACAACGAAAACATTCAGCTCATTCAATGGGCGCTATGATTTTTTTTTGGGTAATTGTTTTACTTACTTAGATAAAAAGATGCATATAGAATTTGCTGAAATACAAACCTGGTTTAAATTTTATAAATTATCAGTAAATTTAGATGAGACGAATCATATTTTATGTAGTTATAGAAAGAAAACATCTGATGTTCCATTTAGAATCAATGGTATTGAGATCTGAGGTGAAGTTTTTGTCATTCTTGATGAAAAGCTGACATGGAGACCTCATATAAATCATTTAAGAACAAAAATAGCCAAATCCATTGCAATATTATACAAAGTAAAGGATTTATTTAATGATAAAGGTCTGTTTCAATTATATAATGCAATAATTGTTCCACACTTGATTTACTGTGTTGATGTCTAGAGAAAAGCATGTAAAACAATTACAAAACCAATTTTTATTTTATAAAAAAGAGCTGTAAGAATTATCACCAGAAAACATCACCCGTCACATTCATTGTTCCATCAGTTGAAGTTATTGAAATTCTATGATTTGGTTGATTTTATCAGTCATTTATAGGGCTCAGAAAAACACTTTACCTTCAAACATCCAATTACACTTTGTCAAAAGAGGAAGGTTATATGATCTCAAGGGGATAGAGATGTTTGTTAAACACATTCACTCATTTAATTTATGATTTGTATTTTGTTAGTTGAATTTATGTTGTTTTTAAAGAAATTAATAAACTAAGTAACTTCTCAAAACATTTAACTTTATTTACACATTATTTTCCAGTAGAAATACATTAAATATTCATTCATTCATTCATTCATTCATTCATTCATTCATTCATTCATTCATTCATTCATTCATTCAGTTTTCTAAAATCACAGTTTTCTTTACACAGTAACTTGCTTCAGAATACCGGCTCTATTTTTGTCTTCTTATTATGCTATTTTTTTAGGTTTTAGCTACTATTTTGCAACTTTCAGTTTTAAACAGCCTTTCTGCTACTTTTAGTTCATATAGCTTCACAACTTTTAGCTTTTGCTACTTATAGCATTTGGTTACTCTTTTGCTACTTTTGAGTCTGTGAATATTATGTTTAGCTATCATTCTGCTGCTTTTAGCTACCTTAAATTTTTTGGCTATCGTTCTGCTGCCTTTAACATGCTGCTACCTTTAATTGACATGCTGCTAATTTTTTACCTAATTACTACTTTTGACTTCTATAGCCTTTTACAGTATGTAGCTTTTAGCTACTGTTTAGCTACTTTAAAAATTTAGCTATTATACTGCTACTTTCAGCTTTTTAGTCTAGTGCTAATTTCAGTTTTTAGTGAGACGTTTGCTACTTTTAGCTTTTGTCTTTTTGTTACTGTTGGGGTCGGGACCCAAAGTGGGGTCCCGAAACATCAAGATGGGGTCCTGAAAAGATTTTCTGAATTAATTACATTTTTGCCTAAGTTGTTACAAATGAGTGAGGTTAGTATATTTAAAATGGATAAATGTAGTATAAAAATATTGTTACTATG